ATACAAATACCTGATTAAACATTAAGCAGGGCCCCATGCCACAATGGAAAGGACAGAGGTAAAGAAATGGAGAAGGGCTCCAAATCTCAAGGGGCAAGAAGAGCAATGTTTCTGTGGGCAACCACTGCTCCCCTCCACTTACTCAAAAGAGCACCAGCTGCACCTCCACCCACAATTTTTTAAATTCCTTCATCTGGAAGGGAACTTGCACAGGATACTTCACAGAGATCTCAGAAGTTTCCTGTGTTTTTCCCCTTCTGAGTGTTACATGTCCATAACTTCTTTTACTAATGAGATTTGGTTCCCATCGCAAAAGTCCATGTTCTCCAGATGATGTGTCCAGCACATTCATTTAAAATTAGGTAGCAAACAACTGATCTTTATAGAAAAAAAATTATGCTCAAGCAAACAGCAAAAAAAGGAAAAAAAAATCAGTACCTATACAACTATGCTGTGGAAAACGTGAGGTTGTACAAAAAATGGAAAGAGAAAACTGAACAGACACTACTATATTCTTAGTTCAGGAAGTTGCATTTAGTTGCAATTTAGTTCAGGAAATTGCATTGAAGCACACAGTGCACATCATATCTCATAGACTAGAGTGTTAAAATAAAACAGCATGAGTGGAAAATTAAGAGGCTGTCTTCTCACCTTTTTCCTCTGCTGGTCCCAACAGACAGTCATAGAGAGAAGAGCAGGTGTGGCAGGATGCCACTACTGCAGCAGTAGTGGCTTAATCTAGAACTGGCACCTAGCCTGTGAAAAACACTAAACCCCAAACAGCCCCCCTAGAAGACGGCTGTTCTTCTGCAGTGATACAGAAGCGGGTTTTTCCTTGGAACAGGTCTGCAAGATGAAGTGAAGCTGAAGTTTGACCATCTGTAGGAAATGCCACAAAGCCTTCTTCAACAAAGTATTTCTTTCATAACAAAACACCTACTAGAACACCAAGTACCTGTTCTACCTGTCCCTCTCTCCCTAAAAGCTCAAGACTAAAACTAATCAGACAGGAAAGCAAACAACCTATCACAAGCAGAATATATCCTAAAGGACCAGAAAAAACCTATACAATCAATTAGCCATGGAGCAAAGTCCCAAGGGGAGGGTACTCGTATACCTTGGTTGATGGATAGCAGTATGCAGCTCTAAGAGAAACGTCCTTTTCCAAACCATCAACACAGTTTGACGGTCTTGCTAACAGTCTGCCAGACAGCATTTCAGTTTTAGATCCATCTATGCCTCACAAGATTCAGATCTGCATTAGAAGAGTGTTTCTGCTCTCTGCCACCTGCATTCTGGCTTCTTGGAGGGAGAGGGAGTTGATCCACTGTAATGTTCTTTCTTAGCAGCTGGAAAACAACCTATTTGGATCTGAACAACATGTTCTTACTCTTATATCCCTACACTCTGCCCTCAGTGAAGTCATAGGCTTTGAAAGGAGAAATTACTTACCTGGTGTTTTGCTTCTTTAAAAATACTGTCTTACTATTGGAATGGATTCATTTCTTGAGCAAAAAAGAAAGAATTCTGGCTCCTTGTCTGATGTTTGAAATCTGGTTATTAGGGTCTCTTAGAAAATTAAGCATTATTTTATACTAAAATATAAAAGTGTTATAAACACAGCTGGAATCTGTAATTGCCAATAAAATATTCACAGAAGTGCAAAGTGCAGGTAGGATTAGGGAAGATTACTGCTAGTCTTTAAGACTAACTAAACTTCAAGAAAAAAGAACAGCAAGCTTTCATATAGGACTACAAAGGATAGTTATTGAAAAAGCCAGAACAGCTGCGTCAAAGCTTTTCTGAGAATCTGAAGTAGAATTTGTGGGAAGAGAGAATCAAGCCTTAGGCAAGCCCTTGTCTGTATCTGGGGACAAAATCAGAATATGAACACAGGGCAATTGTAAGTGCTAATATCTTGGGTTCCTTTTTAAAAGCATCTCCCCCCGCCCCATCATCATCCAGAGACTTGACTCTCCATGCCCTCCAAGAGAGTTTTCCAATCAAAGCCTTTGTGCAGATATCTAAAGAATAAAGCTTCTGTCATAAAGAACTTTTCTAGCTGCCTACTTACTGATGCCATATTTCACATTTGTGACATCATTTCCACAGGTACAAATGAAGTCAAACACAGAATTAGAATCTAGATCAACAGATTGAGGCAAAAGATTGATGTAAAGCTCTTAAAAAAACCCAAACCAGTCATTTAGAGAAGCACACTCTCCTGAAACAGCTAACACTTCACCTTATGATACAAAAGGCATGCTTTAATTTTTTCATGCCATCAGCAAATAAAAAGTTCCTAGTGCAACAGCAGGGATACCACTCACACACAAGTACACATTCTTTACAATATTATATAAAACAAATGCTTTGAGAAATGATTGTGCCAACAAAAAAACTAAACTAGACTAGACTAAAGTAGAACAAGAAATAAGTGACTGAAGGATAATCACCTCATAATGTTCTATTGCACACTGAAAGGACTTAAAGAACGCTGTTTTTTTTTTTTAATCAGGATGTGTGTAAAAGGCTTTTAAATGGTAAGCCAAATATGAAAGTTCCTTTTTAAAATCTCAGTTCCACATACACAACAAGAAAAACACAAATTAATGATGTATTTCACTGTTCCCTACTTTTGGAAAGAATCACTGTACTAATATTGCACTGTTACCCTTTTAAAGTTATAAAGGGGGAAGGCTCGACCCACAGAGTGCAAACCAAATTATCTTACGAGGCAATGCTTTCAATCCCAAGCCAATATAGAATGTTTGAATTTTATTTATTTTTCTGCACAAAACCTAATAAAAGCAAAATATTAATTCCGTTATGGAAGACCATATATTTGCACCAGAACTCCTACTAGATGGACTGAAAGCAGATATGTTTGATAACCTCTACCACCACTTATTTAATTAAACAGGAAACTTGATGTGATCACTGAAATCTTTGTTTATAACTTTTCAATTACAGCTTCAACACGAATCTGCTACAGATCCAGTGTTCTGTGATATAATTTCCTAGCTTCAAATATGTCAAAGTAACAATGTGGATTATGTTGTTCAGTTTTTCCCAACACTGTATCAAGTAACATCCTTGAAAGAAGCTATCTTATTTAACATTGTTCACCTGAATACAGTGCAGTCTAAGCTGAAGGAGGTTGTTAACAGATTTATCTTCTGGAATTTCTTTCAGATCAAGTACACATTTTAAGCCATTATTTAATTAATTTGTAGCCATTTCTCTGCAGTGTAATTGATTAAATTAAGACAAAGAAGATAAAAGAAAATTAAATAAGGAGTTTAGTGAGTTTATCATTTCCGCATCTACTTCCAAAATGCTTCAAAACAGTAGAGAGTCTTTTTTTTGCTGGACTGCTAAAGGTACTTTGTGATGAGTAAGTTGAACAATCATCTTCACACTTAGAAGAAGCAATACCCTATTTATATTCGTTCATTGGTGCATGCTCCTCTTCTAAATTGCCTTCTAAGATTTGGTTCTTTGAGGTATAATGGCAGATATTTTGTTGCATATACTTGGCATTTTAAAAATATGCTTCAGAACTGATTCATAGATTGTCCACATTTGTCTGAAAAAAATAAAGCAAACTCTCACTGCATAGCAGGACAACAACGCTATTCACTTGGGAAGGCCTGTTAACCATTAACAGGCAAGTGGGACTACTGTGGGCAGGTGTCAAAGAAAGTGCACGACACCTGATTGAAACTGATGTACATTCCTACAAAAATAAAGCTGTAATAGATAACCCTTTGTCATAATTCTATATAGACCAACTAAAACTGATTTTCTCTAAAGTTAAGGAAGTTTTTTAAATTTGTGATTCTACAGAAATCACAGTTTATTATAGTATATTCTGGATGCACACCTTCCAATATAATGAAGTTCAGAAGTTGGAAAACTTCAAGAGAAAAAATATAAAAGCAAAAGAGAGAGAAATCAACAATATTCTGTAAATTTAAAATCCAGACACCAAAATGTTTTCCAGCTCAAAGTGATTTACATTCTGCTTCTGTTTTGAAAAATAATTCTGAATGGCATAGAAGGCTACCTTATAAAAAGCCATATACCCATCAATGATTGATTTGTGTTTTTTCTGTCCAGTCTTCTTGGGTAAGATTCTTTAAATTATTCTGAAAATCAAAAGTGAAGTTCTCACCAGTTGCCTGAGTAAAGGGGTTTCTGAAAAAGAGGTTTACATCCAATGGAGCTGCAGTTCCTGAGTCCCAGGAATCTGTATCTGTACTGCTTGAGTCTTCTGTGGTGGTGGGTGGATAGCTTAGCTGCTCCAGCTGGTCAATGATATCACTGAACTGAAAGGCTGAGCTGGATTCAGAGCGAACTGAGTAGGCTGGGAAGTTCACCATGGAGCTAGCTTCAGAATGATTAGCAGAGCTGTATGTGTGGAAGGATGACCCATTTAGGGGCAAATTATTCAGGGAGCTGCTTTCAGAGCGGTTGTTTATGAGTGAACTGGTTTCAGAAGGACTCAGAAGGCTTTGCATTCTGCTTGCTTGGGCTTTCACCTCAAATAATTCAGAGGTATCTGATGGCCTCTGGTTACCATTGAAATCACTCCCTTCAAATTCAAATTCATCTTCCATGTTCATATCTACTGCTTCTGTGGAGTACCTGTCAGGGCTGGACTGGGACGATACCATATTTTGCTGAAGAGCATCTTTAGTTAAAGCAGGTGAATCTGAAGCATGCCTAGAAAATTCAGACCCCTTTAGATCTAAACCACTGTACACATAGGAAAATGCCTCAGATCCCCCAGCAAAAAAGGAGATTTCTGCTGGGTCATCATCAATAAATTCTTCTGAAACCTGAAGCTGTGAATTTGTCAACGTGAAAAGAGGAGCACCCCTACCACAGTGCTGACACTCTTTATCAGTAATGAAAACACCCGCAGTAAAGTCATCCTCATCATTGTCATTTTTACAAACAGCCTTACTGTCTTTGCTACCTTTGTCTACTGCTAGATCTAAGCCACAGCTACTCACAACAACTGGACTAGTGGGGCTACAGTTTCCTGCAACATTACAAAACCCAACACCTTGGAATGGCTGGAGTATGGGAGATCCAGGCTGCTGTGACATTTTCTTCCCAGTGTCTTCAGCAGGTGTGGCAAGACTCTTTTCTGCTGTTGGGTTCCTCATGTATGGTGCTCTAGGGTCCAAGGAGGAAGGACTGGTGTCTGTTAAGATGGGTCTGCTGGTGGTGGTGGTGGATGATATATGGACTGAATAGAAGGGGGCAGATACTGAGGCAGAAGACTCAGGAAGTCTTAAGTTCTCAGTAAATGAGACATTCTGAAAAGAAAAAAAATAGAGCAGGTAAAAGTGGTTTTTTTAATTACTATTATTCTACACAAATATAATACTATGTCCAGTAACTAACTTAGTAAGAGTTTGTGCTTAAAACAAAAATGCTTCTGCAAATGTAGCTTCATATCTAGAAATAGAACCAGCATCCCCAGGGAGATACAAGACCATCTTTTACAGATTCTGAAAAATTTGAGATAAAATTTCCGCAACATTTTTAACTGTAGAAACAAGGAAACTATCACATGGGAACTGGGGGAAAAAAAAAAATCACAAAATACTTAGGGCCAAAGCCCTTGTTTTAGCACAACTCCTCCTGCTTGTATTGCAGGTACATCTTAGCTGAGACCTGTGGACAAAACTGATTACTGCGATAGGAACACAGGTGTAAAATATTCCTATCAGCTAAACAAAATGTGAAAGGTAAACTATGACAGTCACTTCAGCTTCCATATAGTGCATTCATTCAAACTGGTATCACAGGCAAAAAAGTTATGCAAAAGTAAAAATACTAATCTGCATAAAAGCAATTTTGGGTGGCAGTACAGCAGGATCACCTTTCCTTACATTGCCTGCAGAGCAGGTGGCTGTCAGAGTTTTCCTGACTGTAATATTAATGTGCAGCAGGACTTACCTGTTTTGGCACGTTTGTGTTAAAGGTGTGGGCAGACGCTCGAGATCTGCTGTGCCTCCTGCAGATGACAAAATATACTGTGAGAAACTAAGTTGATTAGTCTTCTTCCCCTGCTCAACTGCCCCTATTCTACTAACCCAGAAAAAGGAATCAAACATACCCCATTACCTTTTGTGTTATGACTAGAGGTATAACAACAATATACAATATTTCTGAATGAAAAACAAACACAGAAGCACTCTAGATTCAGACCTTCCAAAGGAAAAAAAATCAAAAGCAACTACAAGAACAGAAAAAGTGAGGCTGAACAGAAATTGCTTCATAGAATCAGAGAAAATGAGGGCTGAAAGAGACCTCAGGAGGTCACATCTAGTCCAACCCCCTGCTCAAAGAAAGACCACCCCCAACAAGATCATTCCAGCTGAGGCTTTTTCTATCCTAGGTCTTAGAAACTTCCAAAGATGGAGATTTCACAGTCTCTCTGAGTAACCTGTTCCAGTGCTGTATTACCCTCCTCGTGGGAAAGATTTTCCTAGCGTCTAACCTAAACTTCCCTTGCTGCAACTTGAGACCACTGCTTCTTGTTTTGTTGCCTGCTACCACTGAGAATGGTCTAGCTACATCCTCTCTGTAACCCCCCTTCAGGTAGTCGAAGGCTGCTTTTAAATCCCCCCTCAGTCTTCTTTTCTCCAGACTAAATAAGCCCAGTTCCCTCAGACTCCACTCATAAACCCTCAGACGCAATGGTGAAGACAGTCGACTTGTTTTGTATAATTTCTCAAGCAGGATAACACAGCCAGTTTCTTCATTCTATCGCAACAGGACTCTGTTTGCCAACAAAACCTCAGCACCACAGAAGTGTTACCCCAGTCACATGACAGTGGCTGTCTGTGTGGTCTGATGCTGAACATGGCTTAACTGCAAATATAAATATGGGCAAACTGCATTTAGGAGCAGAAAATTGTGGACAAGCCTCGTTTTTTCTTGAAACAAGTCCTAACTGCAGTTTCCTAAAATGACTGAACAATGTTTGCCTGAGGCAAACACCTACAGTTATACTGTGCTGCACACAAGCTAGTGATGACACTGTTGTCAGTTGGAGGTAATGTTTCTTGTGTACACCAGGCCTTGGAGACTCAAGCGCAAAGCTGTAATACTGGCCCCTAGCAGACATTACACTTAAGACATGATTAATCAGTTAATCATATCTTAAGTAGTAAACCTGCCATGCACTCACTCAGTTAGTGGTGCAATAAAACAAACTTACTATACAAAAATGGTTAGTAACTTTGTACCTGGTTCCCTTTAATCATATCAAGGCTCTCAGCCATGGGAGGGTATTGGAGCCAAGGGCTCCCATGCACTCCTAGCTGCAGGCGCACACCTGACCCAAGGGCTCCATGCCCTCCTGTAGTCAAAGCTCCTGCAGCAAAGCTCCTGTAGTCCCACAGTTGTGTCTCCTACCATGCATGTTAGGATCGCAGTTCGGATCCCATCGCATCTGTAACTGAATGTCTGCTGGGGGCCCTCTGTTGTTTTTTTCAAAATTACACTTCTCTTGGCACTCTCTTCTTGTTCCTGGGAAGATTTTTCCTCCATTGTTTCTTACAAAACTGTGGTCTGTTCACATGGTCTTTTTTTATTGCTGCTGGTTGGTTCGTTTTTAAACAGGACATTCATTCACATACAGACATCTTCAGAGACAGATCTTGGTAAATGTATTTCTATTTATTAGCTGATTAGGCTTTTCATTAGACTTCATGGGAAACAGTTGATGGGAAGGAAATTCCTGCAACATGCTTCCCCCTAGTCACCTGTCCTATGTGAACTCCTAACTTTCAGCATGGTCAGGGGATGAGAAACAAATGGGTGACTGCAGCACCTCTGATCACCCAGCAGGTATATGGTGAGAGGGGTTCATCAACAGGATCACCATACCCTGATACTGGAGGTGAGACTGCTCTTTAAGAAATAAACCACCCAGAGAATTGGTATTACATACTTGTGAGACGTGCCACCTCTGCTAGTCCTAGTTTAGGAGAGAGAGTTCTTCCTGACAACCTCTAATTCCCAGTTAGTAGGAAACTGGGGAGAGAAGGAAGGGGGCGTGTGTGCATGTGTGTGTGCGTGCATGCGAGAGTGCAATGATTTCCCTAGTACTTCTTCCTGCCACTGCACCAGATGGGAAAAGTTTTTTTCTTCCCTCTCAAAATCTTAATATTCACTAAACAGCACCAAAAATGACAAGCCAAAAATGATGGGAAGGCATTAACATACACATGCTTTAGGTAGAAAAAACAAGCAGACATCACTCCACTGGGAGGTAAACAGGATGCCAGCACAGCTATGAAATAGATAGGATTGGAAAAGATAGAGGTAGGACTTTGTGGCTATACAAACTGAGCACACCACTCAGCACTAGGCCCCATACAAAGCCCTGAAAGATTTAAAACCTGACTTTCCCTGATTGACTCCCTGGAAAAACATAGGCCATAAACACTTTCTGGCTTCCTCTGAGGACAATCCTCTCCCACTGCCACAGCCCAAAGACATGCAAGCACAGGTGTGGGTGGGTGTATCTTGACTGCAACTCCCCTCTAGTCAAAATCTGATCTTCATGTCATATACATCACAATATTATGCTATAAAGTCTATGCACTTTTCAGTGACTCCAAGAAAACAGAATTCTAGGGTACTAAACCTCTTGGTAGCCATGGAAGTCAAAATGCAACGTCTCAAAGGGAGTCCTACAACTTTAAATACAAGGTTTTTTTTACAGTCAATAAGCAGAGTTAAGATCCTGCCCTCCATAATCTGATTACGATTTTATGAAAAGAGGGAAAGGATCTTAAAACATAAATTTAATTAAAACTCCGATACCTCAGAAGTTTCGCCTTGTAAAACCAAGAGGTTTACCTTTCATAGGGAGTTTTCTTCATCCCACTGTCTTTAACATAATCCACCAGCTGTTTCTGTGTTCGTCCACTGTGAACCCATACAAAGTGCAAAAGTTAAAGAAAGTATTGCAAAAGGTATGAAAAAGTAGTCCAGGCCAAGGGCAAAAATGTTAAAGCACTGGTAACAGAATCCAAATCCTTTAACTTAAATGGAACTTGAGTACATTTTCTTCTAGATTCCATTTTTCTACATATAAAAAGTGAAGTTTACAAATACGACAAGTTACACTATATCATACCTGTATCTGAATGAAGATCCTCTACTGAAGAAGACTGCTTTAGCTTTTGGTTTTGGCTGATCAAACAGCCTGAAAAAAGTGTGATATTCCACACAGATTTTCCAGAAATTCTTACACTCATCTCTGCTTCCTAACAGAAACTCCAATGTATCCTGATATGGACCCTATGAAAAAAAAACAGAGACTCAAGCTGCACTAAAGAATACCAAAAGTAGAAGAAAACAACAAATACACATCAGCAAAGATGGCCCATTTATTGAGGTGTAATGAACTATAATATTTTTGGAATGCATCATAAAAAATATGTAATCTCCAATATCTTAAAATGATATGCTTCAGAAAATGCACGAGTGCTTAAAAAAGAATAAACTGAAGAAAATCTGTAAAATTATGCTAGTTACAGCTCACATATACAAATGAGATTATAACATGAGTAATTTGGTTACAGGAATCAAAGCTATTCCACACAAAAGGCTTTAAATATTTTTCCTTAAACAGTTGTGATGCCTGTCTGCTTTCCCAGCTTTGTTATATTTCTTCTTTAGCTTTGCCACTTCAACTCAAAAGCTGCAATAAGACTTGGCGTGACATAACATTCAAGTGATATGGACAAACATGCACTTACAGCATCTTCAAAAGGGGAAGGAAAGCTAATGCTTCCAAACAGGCAGCAGGTGTTATGCTGTTACATGTGCAGGATCCTATAGCGATACAAGGGAGCTAAATTGTACCAACCTTAATCTTGGATGAAGGAGCTTTGAATTCGGAGTCATTTTACTACACTTGTATCCTGACAGGCTCATGCACAGATGACAGTTACAGAGTAACAGCTGCTTCCGGGCTGCCAGCAGAAACTCCCCCTCCCTTCTCAAAGCTGCTACAAGCAGCTTTAACTCAAAGTCAGGTGTTGCTCTCTCAACCCCGCCGCTCCCTGCATGTAAACTGTGCAGGTGTATTTGTTAGGAAAGAATTCAAATGGGTGTGATACCTCATTGTAAAGCTTCTTCTTTTCAGCCCCCTTCTATTTCACTCTAGAAGGTATATAATTCAAGAATCACAGCTGATCACAACTGCCAGAGCATCATGGGAGGAGTTAAGCGGTCTCTGACAAAGATTTGCTGGGTGTCAAGGATATGACCTACGGAGCTGTATCAGGCCCTTGATGCTGCTCACCCCACTGCCAGTTAGGTCAATATCCAGGCCAAAAGCCAAGAGAATATAACATCCCTGGTGTAAGGCAATAAATTAAAACACTTGAAAATTTAACCAGAAGAAATGCTGAAGCCATTATAGAGTACAGAGCAAAGGCATACCGTATCCTCAGTGAGAGAAACTATTTAACAAGCACTTTTAGCCACTACGCTATATGGACATCAAGAAAAAAAAAAAGATAAAACAGCAGTCTTGAGTTCTGAATCACAAACAGAAGACAGACTTCCTCAGCTGAGAACTTCACTTCAGCCATTTATTCTGTTTGTTTCAGTAGGCATGTCAGGATTACTTTATTTTATCAGGATTAAGAAAGCTCATGCGATCAACTTTTTAGCTACACTTCACCACTTCATAGAATCAACAAGCTGATGGAGGAAATGTACAAACGCAGTCCTGTCACTATGCTACATGGTTCTCTTGGGAATTTAAATGCATGCAAATGAGACTTCTCACATTGTACCAAAAAAAATTTCATTTAAAGTTACTGGCAGGGGTTTAATTCTATTTCCATTTAAATACTTCTGGTAGATTGTTTTCCAAGAAGCCAGGTGGCCTTGAACCTATGCTTTGAAATGGCTTATTAAGCATGCCTTAGACCACCAGTCATGTTTCTGAATGAGAGAGTTCCTGGATGTATTAACATGATACCCTGGTAAAAGTGACCCTGTAGACATCCAGACACATCATAACTATGGGGCCACAGTCATCACCAGTCAATCAGCTAAGAACCATACAAGTTGTAGTAAGTGGGCAGCAAATCTTTGTTTCTCCTGAGACTGGCCAGGACTCTTAATACAGGTACTTCCCAAACATGGGATACACACCCCTGGGAGGAAGAGAAGGTATGAACTAGCTTGCAGGAGGTCTGAAGAAAAACAATGCAAGTTTTCAGTATAATCATTTACAATTGTGTTAAGTTTGACAACCCTTGTAATCTTTATCCAAACATCATGACTCAGGGCATAAAATAACTATGAACAGGGGGCAAGAAGAAACTGTGGACTGCAGTGCATTTTTTCATATTCTTTTAAAGTGGCTCACACTGGTCACTCATACGACATGGGAAGTAGATCTACAACTGATCTGTTTCGGTCTGATGCTTGTATTCTCCTTCCTTCTTTGTACTGGAACATTTATAAGAACTCAACTTGGGGCTCTGTCTACTATTTTACATACAGATTCAAGTTAGAGCAAGACTCAGCTGAAACAAAGTTCCTCAAGACTCATACTATAAAATTATAGTAGTCAGACAACAGTGCTCATGTAAGCCCTCTGTAATTACATATTCTGAAATCCTGTTAACTTAATACAGAAAATTCCATGTTAATACAAATTAAATAGGGAAACAATTTTTGACATGTGGAGCTATTAAAATTATTAATAATTATTCATAATCAATAAAATTATTACTAAACAGTTTAATTCAAGAAAATGATAAAGTCAGTGTATTGAACACCCATCAGTACTACATTTTGCATACTGCAAACATGATAACTGGTCTACAATTTCATTCTAGGTAACCAATGCCTTTGAGCCTTACTGGTACTGAACCAGTTCATTCTCATCCATGGAAAACTCTGTAGAAGCAAAAAAAAATTACTGTAAAAATGCAGTGGGTTGTAAACTGAAGTAAGAACACCACATTCTCCACATGTGTCTGTGTTTAGCACTGGTGTAGAGGAGGGTTTACTGCCTCTCTGGCATGTGGAGCCCAAGAGTCTGAAGAATTTCTGGCCAAAGCCTACAAGATCTCATGGGATACTGGATACTCTTTCACAGGATTTTTAGACCTCTACTCCAAGGAATGGTGACATGACTGGCTCAACTGCCATGACTGCATATTATAAGCCTGAGAGGTTGGAATATGGCCACAAAAGAGGATAGAGAAGCAGTTAACCATGTTAACCTGCAGTCAGTCAGAAGGCAAGGTAGATATGTACCTTTATAGATCAACTAAATAAGAGCTACATAGAGAGCACAAGCTTTCATGAGTCCAAGTTCACTTCATCACATACACATCCTAAAACAAGCACTACATGACAATTCGTCAAACAATTAGGTTCCAACATGCTGGGTTCATAAAATGTGCACAAAATGTTTGCTCTTCAGTGTTAACCCCTTTAAATTTGGCCGTAATTCCTTCAGTCTTGTGTGTTAGGCAAACCAGGCTGTCACTTTCAAAAGGATTAGCCAGCCACTTCACAACTGCCTAATTACTTCACATACTCTCTAACCAATGCAAACATCCCTGCCAATGAATGTTTTTTTTAACTTTCTCCACCGTAATGAAAAGACAGAATCTGACCCTAAGACAATCTAGCAATATGGACATTTTTGCCTAAGAAACAAGGACTAGGTGCAGCTTTCCTTTAAAAATAAAATGAAGTACAACAAGGATTACATACTGAATAACACAGCTATGATACTCATTAATATTGGGTATTTGAATCTTTGTCTGAAAAAACCAAAACAGAAAAAGGAAAAAGAAAACTTCAAAATGCAAAGTAGGTTCAGTTGGGTAATACTGACATCCCTGAACTATGAAAAAAAGCAAAAAAAACCCCTGTCTCCCTCTCTGATGGCATTTCATAATATTCTATCACACAGTTAAATACTAGAAATATTTAAGAGAACATTTCAGATATGGCCAGGGCTATGGATATGGCAAAACTTACATGAACCTCTGGATGGAGTTTAACAAGGAATCTTTTCCGCTTGAAGCTTAGTTTACGGACCTTGGACCAGTTGAAGGTGTTGATTTTTGTGCTACCCTAAATTAAAAAAAAATATTTACACAATCAAACTAGTTCTTAAAATAGCAGCAAATGATGACTCTCAGGCATACTGCATGCATGTGTCCAGCCCCCCTGCCTTTTGTCAAATCTATTTTCTGGCAAATGCATTCCTCAGATCATGCCTTATCTGCCATGCAACATCATTTGTAAAGTAACAGAAAACACATGGTCTCTAAAACAGAAATTAAAGGATAAAGGATAATAATGTCAAATATTTTATGGTTTGATTTTTAAATTAAACTTTCCTCTGTATATTGCAGAGGCTAAGATGAACCTTGTAAAATTCTAACATACAGTATGTGGTCACTCTGGTTAAATTCCCCAGGTGCCTTCCTGCTTCCATAAAATCTCAGCTTTGTTTATTAAAACATCTTAAAGCCTCTTAATTGTGAATGAAATAGATAAGGAACTGGGTATCTGAAAAAATAGATAAGGAACCAGGTATCACAACAAAAATTTCTAGAGGATTCAGAACAACTACTGTCATTACAGATGAGCAGCACAGTAACTTGAGAAGCAGCTGCCATGCAAATACTTGTTTCATGCCCTCCCCCCCCGCCCCCCAAGGCCTCTTCCTTCACTGCCCTCCTACTGGCTAAGGCCAGGACCCCCCATTCCTGCTCCTGTCATCCTCTAGATTCTTCCCACAGCCTGTTCTACCCTTCTTATCTCATACAAACCATCTGTCTCTTTCCAAAATTTAGAGAAAGGGTGATCAGAAGATACCCAGTTCCTTATCACTGTTCAGGAGCCTGGAAATTCCACTGCCACCTCTGTAAGCAAGGGTGGGGGTGAAATAAAGCATAGAAAAGGGTACTGTGAATGATGCATCCAGATAAGGTAGACAGCCAGACAAAAGGGAAGAATGGAAACCTGAGTGGATAAGAGGCACTAGTTCAACCATAGAAGCTATAAAGAAAACTGAGGTGGAGGGGAAAGGGATTGCTGCGGTTGCTGAATATCCTGAGATGTTGCTAAGAGGGAACAGGAATAAGCAGTAAGACACCACGGACAAAGACTTTTCCCCTAAAACAAGGCAACAGTAGTTTAAAAATATTTCAGGCTCTGATCTTCCAGAATTAAGGAAATGCTCTAGGATTGCATTTATTAATGGGGCTGATATACTTCTCAATGAATATCTACCCTTAAATTAGCTGATCTACACTCTAAAATGCACTACCAGAGGTTGGCAGTGATTTTCCAGCAGCTGGGCAGAATGACCTGGCTTGGGTTCATGACTGGCCAGCGCCACTGCCCAGCCATTGTCTGGTACAGGAAGCTCTCAGCCACAGTGCAGTGCAGCATGAAAGAAGCTGCTTGCTGCTTACTTAGCTGCAGCCTTCCCCCCCAAGCACTGCCAAAGGCCCCCAGCTCTGGGACAGATCCGCTGGCTCCTTGGGCAGGATCTGACCCAGGGGCCTTACCATCCTCTGTGCTAGCTTACCATCCTCTGTGCTAGAAAAAGAGTGAATAAAATCACCCAAGTGAGGGAAAAGAATGTTTATCCATTAGTAAGATCATGAACATTACATTTTAAATGGAATTAAAAAAATTAAAATACTTTTTCCTCTTCAAAAATGTATAGAAAACCTAAATGCTTTACTCTGATAAGCTTGTCTGGTTTACTTGAAAGATGCTCAGACATCTTTCTTATTAACTGCAAATGATGTTCAGAAATGGCAACTCTGACAGTAGAAGTAATTTTGACACCAGTCTCTTTGAACTAACCTAGAAACATCTGTTGTACAATTTCTTGGCCCTCATGACTTTATGTTAATGTCAGAAAAGAGATTTGAAAATGAAAACAAGAAACTACTACTTAATGCACTATAATTAAAAGCAAGACACGGATCTAGTATGCTTCTCCCTTCGTACCTGGAAGACGAGGACGCCCATGTGTGAAACAGCTAGGTTAATTTTCGTCCCCTCCCTGTCAGATGCTAGATGAAATCTAA